CTGAATGCCTTGATAAGTGCAAATAAATCACAGACTAAGTTATTTTCACCCTGAAACTTTAAATTCAAATGGTTCATATGGTTCACCAGATCAGCAAAAAATGCTAATTTCCAAAGCCACTTGGTATCTGATAAAAGTGTTTTGTGATGGTTTTTCTTGGTAAGAAATATATCAATTCCATTCCTGAGCTGAAAGAAGTGTGAAAGAAGCTTTCCACAGCTAAGCAATCGAACTGCAGTATAATATGTCAGGTCAATATGCTCAAAATCACATTTACCAGTACTCATTGGAAAATTAGTTCAATTGGCGCATTTCTGCACAATTCTTTTGCGGGCTGGATGTGGCCTGCGGGCCGTAGTTTGGAGATCCTTGATTTAGAATATGCCATTAGGAAGGTCCAGGAAAATAAGATGGGACTGGAATTAAATGGGATACATCAGCTGTTGGTCTATGCTGTTGATATGTACCTACTGGATGATAATATAAATATCCCGAAGAAAGTAACAGAAGCATTAATTGATGCCAATGAGGAGGTTGGCATAGAAGTAAACACATGGAAAACTGAGTATATGTTGCTGTCTCATCCCCAGAATGCAGGTCAAAATCATGACATGAGGACAGTTCACAGATCCTTTGAAAACGTGGCATAATTCAAATATTTTGGGGCGACAGTAACAGATCAATATTTGAACCAGGAGGAAATTAAGAGGAGATTGAATTCAAGTAATGCTTGCTACCATTCGGTTAAGAACCTCTTGTCTTCTCATCTACTGTCTAAAAACATAAAAATGAGAATATTCAAAAATATAATTTTACCTGTTGTTCTGTATGGGTGTGAAACTTGGCCTGACATTAATGGAGGAACATAGACTGAGGGCATTTGAGAACGGGGTGTTGAGAATATATGGACCGAAGAGAGAGAAGTTATGAGAGGTTGGAGAAAGCTGCATAATGAGGAGCTTCATGACTTGAACTCTTTGACAAGTATAATTAGAATGACCAAGCGAAGGGGTATAAGATGGACAGGGCATGTAGCACGAATGGGTGAGAAGAGGAATGCTTAAAGGATATTTTTAAGAAAGACGGAAGGAAAGCATAACAGTAACAAACACAAAGCTACTCAGAAGTTATAACATTTTCAAAGATCATTTTGAAATAATTTTTTAATTATCAATTATAAGATTACCTAATTGTTAAATTAGGATTAATCTATTGTTGTGTATATGAGCTCATCAAATGTACGATTTTTATTTTTATTTCATTGTATTTTATTGTTAATTTTATCTAGTGTCTTAGTCTACATTGTTGAGGGTGTGAATCGAATAGAAACTAACTTGTACAAACGTCATATAAAAATGGGAATGTTGGTGTTGCAGTTTGGTAATGGTATGTGAGAAACTTGCAGCACCTGAAGGTGGCCCAGTTGAGGTCGAAACATGTATTGCGTGCTATATAAATAAATGAATAAAATATATTGTTGCGTTGGCAGTAGAAATTGTATATGTTCATAGGAAAGAGACCACTAGGAAGACCAGCACATAGGCAGGTGGATAATATCAAAATGGATCTTAGAGGGTTAGTCACTGGCTTCCAACCGCGGCGGCCCGGGTTTGTCAAGTGGGATTTGTGGTGGACAAAGTGGCGCTGGGGCAGGTTTTCTCTGAGTACTTCGGTCTCCCCTGCCAATCTTCATTCTACCAATTGCTCCACAATCACCCTCACCTATCATCTGGGGCTGGTACAAGAGGCCAGAAGGGACTTAGTCCCACCCCACTAGCATTAAAAAAAAAATTAAGAGTGCTAGGATAGAATGGTATGGACTGGACCGACCTGAATCAGGGTATGGACCAACAGAGGGCTCTTGTGAGCACAGTAAAAAAACCCTCGGCTTCCATAAAATGAGTATTGGTGGCTTCTCGGGATGAGCTCAGATCCACGAATTTAGTTAGTTTCATAATCCCGCTGTAAATATCACAGAAGTCTGTAACTTCTTTTGTTTTTAACGTGTGAAGATCGTCAAAATCAGTCGAATTACCACATACTTTAAATCACACAGTGGCTCCCGCGTAGAATACATCTATTGGTTGAAACACTAATCACGTGTCGATACTACGACGGATTACTAAATATCCACAAGCTTGGCGAAAAACAAGGGTTTTACTACAATTATTCATGTCATTTATTTCAATCTTCATACAGTTCAATTTGATGAATATTAAAATTGTTTCATTAGCTATAACGTACTCATTCAAGAAATTAAACCATCGTTTGATAATTTCTCAAAACAGTATTTCCCGGAATCCCTACGCACGGATCACATAAGGCATTGAAATAGTCAAAGATTTAAATATTGGTCTGTGAATACAGGCCTGGCAACATTGCGTAGAGATATGCGCAAGCGTAGCTCTGATTTAATAACGAATGTAAACCTGTGGAAGACGTGGAATGAAATGAGGAGAATGTAGTGAACAGCGAACGTGGGTTGTTAGTGATGTTAGTGACTTCAATAACCANTGGCAGTATAACAGACGCAGTCACAGGAGCGAGTAGCAACATAGAGCACAATACTCGATAGTGAAAGAGTGCTCCAACAGAAGATGATAGACGTGACTCGCGTAATGAAACACGACGTAAGAATAAATATGCTGTACAATTTTAATATTTTAACACTTAACATTTATCAGTATATATGATAAATATATATTTTAGTTATTTTAGNAGGAGAATGTAGTGAACAGCGAACGTGGGTTGTTAGTGATGTTAGTGACTTCAATAACCATGAGTCTGGTAACGTTATTGGAAGAAAGTAGGGCAGATCCATCTGTGGTGACAATAGAAGCAACAGTAGTTACGGGTTTCGAGCCGTTAGCCGTAGAAGAATGCAAGGAAAAAATAAATAAATTAATAAGTATAGCTATTGCACGTGGAAGAGTATTTTTTAATATCCATGTACATAAGATGAATATTGTAAGTTAAAGATATCTTGTGCCGTGAAAGATAAATATTTATCTCATTGTGTCTTATATGTGTGATTAAACCTATCGGTATATAAACATTCACTAACCTATGAAGAAAGCAGTCTTCTGGGATGTGGCAGCACGTCTACACGGTGCCCCATCCGAGAAGACTGCTTTCTTCATAGTCACCGCCGTGAAAACCACAAATCTTACATTCACTAACCTATTTTACTTTTAACCAGTTGGGCCGTATTCCTGGTCCTGGCTCTGCAATATTTGGACTGTAGTCAGAACACAGAAGTCCACATTCCATTCATTGCTGTGAAAGCCACGACTCATTTATTCATGTCTGATTTTTAAGGAGGTGTTTCTCTGTTTAGGTTGAAGAATTGAGATCTGTTGACAATCTGTATGTTGTGATGAAAATCGCCCCAAGTCTTCATCTGTCTTGCTTGAGCATAGTAAGTTATAACATGTCACAGTTATTCTCATGTATTCAGTATAGTCAGTGGTTTAATATGAAGAGTAGTGGTGGGGAGAGAAATTCAGAATTGCATATAATAAGAAAATAAAATACCATACCAAGTACATAAAGATTTGATAGAAGTTTATTTCTGTTGTACATATTATTAAATCTGTATTCCTTTCTACATAACATAAATTACATTCGATTGTAAACTTTAGTGTTCCTTGTTATATTCCAAATTTTTGACGAGAGCCTCCAACAGTGCCTTGTGCCGTCCTGTGTTATGATGGACTCAATTTTCAATAATCAGCGTTGTAGTTTGTCACTAGAATCAGTTTGTCCACACACTTATGTTTATGTATCATTCAGTCGTGGAGGTTAGTAGGGTTACTTTCTTAGGGTAAACTCAAATACTGTAAATAATAGGGATAGAGTTCTATGCTCAGTAAATAAATTGACCTAAAATATAGATGAACACAAAAAATAATAGAAAAATGTAGTCCTGTAGGTAAATGTATTCTTTGTGATTTTGCATGCCTCAGTGGTTTATAAACCATGTGGTACTTTTAGCCATACAGTAAATTCTTTGCTAATCCAGAGTAACTGGGGGGATAGGTCATCAGGACTGAGCTATAATATTGCTAGTGGGGTGGGACTAAGTTCCTTGTACTGCAGTCACTTCTGGCCTATTGTACCAGCCCCAGATGATAGGTGAGGGTGATTGTGGAGCAATTGGTGGAATGACGATTGGCAGGAGAAACCAAAGTACTTAGAGAAAACCTGCCCCAGCACCACTTTGTCCACCACAAATCCCACTTGACCAGACCCGGGATCGAACCCAGGTCGCCATGGTGGGAAGCCAGTGACTAACCGCTTGAGCTATGGCACGGCCTATAATTTGGATTAGTGAAGCAAAAGACAAAAACAGTGGAACAAAAATAAATGGGAAATTTAATAATATAAGTGGTTCTGATTAAAATAAATAACAAAATATCACTGTAAAAAAAGTAAGGTAAAGGTATCCCTGTAAGAGGCTCTGGAGGCCCATAGGGTTTGAAGATGTTGAGGTTCCCACATTTTCTAGACAGTAGGCTCACAGATGGCAGTGACATGCTGGCCACCCTTTACCCCGAGGAAGATTCCTTGTACTCATTTCTGTTAGAGGCTGAGTTGACCCCAGGGCCATAGTGTGGCTGAAAGGATAGGTCAATTGAAAAATCCAGTGATTCAATTGGGAATAGTACCTTCTACCTTCCAGCCTGTAGCGTAGTGCCTCAACCAACTATGCTAGCACATGCCCCAAGTGTCACTGTAGAACCTTTATTTAAAAATTATAAAATGGGAATACATTTATTCATTGATAGAAGACCCAGAAGTTGTACTTGTTTTGACTGTAATAATGTGGGTTTGAAGGAACTGTCAAGTTTTGTCAGAACAGAGATGTGACTCATCTGCCTTCATAAATGCCATGTATCTTTTAAAGTATGTACTCAACTATCAACAGCATATTTCTATTTTAGTCTGGATTATCTGATATTCAGATTAAGTGAAGTCATTAACTGAGTAACATTGAAACCATTTTGAGAATTTTATTAAAGACCTATGGATTATAAGTTCCTGATGTGTGGGTGTAAATAATAATATGTATGTCCTAATTAAAAAACTAGAAGTATTTAACAATTGTTAGTTGGATGAGGCACTATGCTACAAGTTGGAAGGTCGCGGGTTCAAGTCCCGATAAGGTCATTGGATTTTTTCAGTTGACCTAATCCTTCTGGCCACACTATGGCCCTGGGGTTGAGTCAGCCTCTAACAGAAATGAGTACCAGGAATTAAATAATTTTCCTGGGGAGTAAAGCACGGCCGACACGTAAGGCTGACAACCTTTCCGCATCTTTGGGCCTATTGTCTAGATAATGTGGGACCCTCAACATCTCACAACCCTATGGGTCTTCACGGCCTGTTACAGGGATAGCTTTACTTTTTTTTACTTTTTGAACTTGATGACTAGTCTATCATAATTACAGATAAGACATATTTAAGTTACATATCACTACATCCTGCGTAATATGTTCACCTTGCTAGAATGAGGTGTAGTCATACAAACACCATTTCTTTGTTACATTTGCTTGATAACAGTGAAATTTTACTGCAGTAAACTCCCAGTTATCCAGTGTCCAAACATCCCAGATTCTCATGCAGCCAGCAAAGATTTTGGGAAGAAGTTTATAACTTTTATTAAGTTACTTAAAAAAGAAACTGTATAACAGCCATTCCTATGTAACGGCTCTGCAAACAGACATGTTTCCACTGCAGTGAGAGAACACAGCAGTAATGGAAGAGATTTTTTTCTGCGCAGTTCATGCTGAGGTTATATAACAAGGACCAGTTAGCATTTGCAGTTAGTCCACGCATGGAGGTGGGTTCATATACCTCCACTGTAGCCCTGTAGTATGGAGATAGAACAAATCATGGCATACCTGTTGCCTCAACTCAAGGCTGAATAAGAAGCAACTAAGCCAAGACAGATGCCAATCTGAAGGAAATGAATCCCAGCCAGGAGGAGATGAAAGCCAGCCAAGCAAGGCTGGAATCCAAGATAAGAGGCCAGTAACAAGAAGTTTGAGGTCCTTCAAGAACAGCTGTGGACCAGTCAAGAAGAGATGAAGGCCTGGTGAAAAGAGATGATGGCTTGCATAGAAATGGCGAAGGCCAATAAAGAGAAGACAAGGACTTGTTTGGAAGAATTGGGCCCCATGGATTTGGAGGCCAATTGAGAAAAGTTGGAGGCCATAGCAGAGCATCAGGAAGTCTCTAATGCAGAGGCCACTGTGGAATACTGGAACACACAGCAATGGCAAACCAAGGACTATGTTGCAAGATGAGCCCCTAAAGGATGGTTGCTTGAGAGGAGACAGTGGATGTGCCAGGAATGAAATATTGAAATAAGATACCAAGACTTAAAGGAGCAGCCACATCTGAGGACGGAGGGGATATCTAGCAGGATCTTCGGAAAGACCATAGAGCTGGAGTTTTGAAGGTGAATAATTGGGTCTCTGACTGGGCTGTGGGAAGTGAGTGACTAGACATTGTGGAGGGGTCGTCCCCCTCCAAAATGAAAGAAGATACATCAGAAGCACAGCCCTTGAAAAAGAAGAGTTGGCAGTATGCCTTAGGATCTTTGGGACAAATAGCCTTAACCCTTCAGTGCGGTTTGCCGTACACGGTACGCTGGTATTTAAAAGGTCCTACCTGTGGTTTGGGAGAAATAGCCTTAACCCTTCAGCTTGGTTTGCTGTACACAGTACCCTGGTATTTGAATGGTCCTACCTGCGGTTCAGTGTACATGGTACGCCAAGCTGTAAGCTTAATTTCGTAAGCCCATAAATATAGAATGAATCACGCCAGCAGGATGAGGGTTGCACTTGGCTGTTGTGAAAAGAATGCTGTTTGTGTAAACATAACATTCAATTTCCTGCAGCTCTGCCAGTCAGTCTAAAAATAAACGCATGACCTCACAGTGGTATCAACAGTGACTATGATATAAACATACCACAAAAATGATATTCCTGTGGTTGTGAATAAAGCAAACAAACAAGAAACAAAGCCCATGGTTGTTTGTGATTACAACAAAAACATGCTAGGAGTGGATCTGAAGGATCAAATGCTACAGCCCTACTTGCTTGAATGAAAGAAGAGTACTAAGTGGTATCAGAAGTTATTAAAGAGACTACTCAATGTAGCAATACATAACGCAATGGTCATATATTGGTGTCTCCCGAATAACAAAAACATGAGCACACTAAAGTTCAGACTTTCACTGGCACAAGCCCTCATGGAAAAACACAGTTCTGGTGTTCCTTGTCCTGTATATGCTGTCAGTCAGTTGAGCTGCCACCTAAAAGACTCACAGAATGACATTTCCTGGAGCGTATTCCAGCCACAGGAAAAAAGGCAAAGCCTCAAAAAAGATGTATGGTGTGCGCAAAATATGGCAAAAGGAAAAAATCTATTTACTGGTGTATTGAATGTGGAAAGCAAATGGAAAAACTACCACATTATCACTTTTCCTGGATAGTTTCTTTCCAAAAAACAGAGATACCATGTATGCGAGATGTTTCCTCTGGAGGCAAAACAATCCGGAGGTAAACTACTCCCCCAGTCAGATCTCCTGGGGGGAGTGTTTCTAGAGGAAATGTCATGCAGGCATTACAACAAGAAAAAGTGCAAAGATCAGAAGAAACATCATGGATACAGGATTGGAACATGGCATCTAAGGACCTTGAATCGAGCAGGCAAATTGGAGAATTTGAAAATGGAAACGCAGAAGAATGAGATGTCTGTTCTAGGTGTCAGCGAAGTGCGGTGGAAAGGACAACACAACAATAATTTGGCATAACCAGGCACGAGACCACTTAACCCAACTCACAGACCACGCCCTTCTCCGCCACAGGCGGCGTGTAAGACATTTTTTTTACAAGAAACTCACGCTACATAATTCCATCTCCAAAAAATATCGCCTAGGCACACAATACAAAGAAAAGCAAAACATACAGACACTCGGCTTACAGAGTTCTTCCAAGAATCAACAATGAAATAGCAACATTATGTGTATTACGTGGAGATGGGCCCTCCTGCCTGGAGTCTACTGCCAAGCCAAATCTTTTCAAGGCGCCGGCCTAAACAGAATTTTGTTACGGAGCGACACGTCCGTTCACTACGATGTTCCAGGCAGAAGAGAGCTGGTGCCTCAGCCGAATCAGGAAAGGCAGGGGAGTGATGACGTAAGATACGCCACGGAATAAGGATAAGTGGTAAGGAATGTAGGAAAACAAATGGTGCGAACCGCGGCCACCGCCGCTCAGAGAGGGCACTACATCCAATGAGCTGAAGAGATGGGCTCAAACTAATGAACACCATATATGAAAGTGGAGAGTGGCCCAAAGACTTTACAGAAGTGACAATGATTGCCTTAAAGAAAAAGACAAAAGCTAC